TCAAAATAGTCTGAAAATTTTGCAAAAAAATATCCAACATTTTCCCCGTGCATTCCGTTTTGATGGAAGGAAACTTGGCAACGGCTGAAGGCTCTTACGTCGTTTTTCCTTATCACGCGATTTTTCCTCAAATCCTGATGGAATCGGAAAAATCAGGAAAATCCTGATGCTATAGACACCCTGTTAAATTGCGTTCAAAATAGTCTGAAAATTTTGGGAAAAAACATTCAACATTTCCCCCGTGAATTCGGTTTTTATCGAAGGAAACTTGGCAACGGCTGAAGGCTCTTACGACGTTTCTCCTTAGCACGGTAGTATTCCGATGAAGTTTTTGCATATTCACGCAAACCAGCTCCGCAAACGCGGACGTCCAGATAAATCATTTCCAGCTGAAAATAGGTACGGGATCGCCGTTTAACTTCGAGTTGACCCCCACGGGCACCGTTGCCAACTCAGGCAGTGAAAAACCCGGAATGGCAGGATGAAATGAAGGATTTTCGCAGCGGTTTGGCAACGTGCCGCCGGAAATGGTGGGCGCTCGGACCAAGTCCGCGAGCCTTTCCCCGATCCCCGATGCAGTGGTGCAGGCCGGAAATGGAAGCGAAGCCATTCTCATGAGTGAATCAGCTCTACGGATTGCCACGTTCACCCGCGAAAAAAACGCTGGAATTTACCTTTTTCGTGCCGAAGTTGAAGCAGCACGGAGAGAAACAACCCGATTACAACACTGAATAAAAAAATTACGGGCTATATAGACGTACCATCCGCACTGAAAAAAAAAAAACCTCGGTGTATTTACTAAGAAAAGGGTAAAATTACCAAGAATTCAGGGTTCTATTTGATACCAGCTTTTCCTGGTAAAATTACCAGTTATGGAATTGGTAATTTTACCGAGAAATCTCGGTAAAATTATTGAACTTCCTCGGTAATTTTACTGGACCTTGGTAAAACCGCCATTATTTTTCACCGACTGTGGTAGGATTACCGAGATAAAATGGCTAAGTTACCGGGAATTGATTACCAATAAAAGTGGTATTCTTACCTGGAAAAAACAGTAAAAATACTGGTTTTTAGGTAAGCTTACAAGTCTGTCTTGGTAAAATTACCAATATTGGTAAAAAAAGTGAGATGGTAAAGGTACCAACGGACCTTCGTAAAAACGCCGAGAATTTTTTTTCAGTGCGTTCCGGGTGCTGGAGCCGTAGCTTCGACTGCTCCGGGCGCTACACCCGGAACTTTCGGCCTCTGAGGCTCTGAGCCCGGCACGCGGACGGTTTGTCTATAGAGCCCGTCAGTACGGCCTCCTGGGCCGGAGATTTTTTCAGTGAGGGATTCAACTTCAGTTCATTAGAAACATCTAGGCTCCACCAAGTTCAAAAGCTCAGATAACTCACTCTAAAATGGACCGAGTTTATTAGAAAGGAACCAACCCGCATTTTCGAAAAAATTTAGTTAAAAATGTTTTTGAGTTCCCTCGGTCGTTTATTTTCTCCTGCCAAAATATGGAAGTCGAAAAAAAGAAATTAGTTTGTGAAAAGAGGGGTTAAAGTTTATTCTCTACGTTGATCCTTGTGCAGGAATAAAACTTCAAACCTCCTTTTCTCGGTTTCAACTTGATGTGGGTTGGTTCCTTTCTGATGAACTCGGTCCAAATATCAGAGCGAGCAAGCTCTCACACTGGGAAAAAAACCACACTGGATCTAGAGTCCAGGCTCTTAAAAACATCGTCAAGAAAAAATACTCTTGATTCAATCGGATTTTTGCTTAAATCAAAAACCAAGCCTCTTGATTTGAGCGGATTTCCTTTTGATTTAAGCAAAAATCTGATTGAATCAAGAGTATTTTTTCTTGTTAATGTTTTCAAGAGTCTGGACTCTAGATCCAATGTTTTTTTTTTTTTTTTTTCCCCCAGTGCATCGGGTAACCGTCGAATCAGACGTTATGTGTTACTCGTTACTCTTACGATCCTAGAGTATAAAGTATGATGATAATGCATCACTTTTAGACTGAATTTAAGCACACTTTAGCAAAATCACTGACGCTCTGTCTAGACAACTCGTGCGTAGAACCGCAATCTGATTGATTATTTTTAGATGTATTGTAGACTTGAGTACCTTTATCGTCGTCTCCCGAGAGAAGGAACGTAACTTCATTCCTGGGTTGCAAAATCGACTCAAAAAATTCAATATTTTAGAATAAAGTACCTGCGAAATGTTTTTCTGATTTTTGCATGAGATGTGCAGAATAATAAGTGAGGTTTTCTGTTTGAAATGTCCGAGATTCTCGCAAAAATGCAATTTGCGAGGGAAAATTTGGCAACATTGCACTGTGGTTACGTTCTTTCCTGGAGGGAACGGACATGTCAAAATATGGAGCTCTTAGGGCCCAAATGCGAGGCCAACTTTCCAGTGCGAAATACAAAAGACATGAAATACGTGCTGATTCCAATATCGAACCAGGATGGCCAAGAATGTTCATAAATGAGCGTGTCTTTCCACAAAAGAGAGTGAGTTCATGCCAAAACTAAGTCAAATACGAGGTTCACAAAGGACGAGCCTTAACAATAATTTAGGGGCTTTTCAGGACAAGGCGCATAAGTGCAGTTCTTGCTGTTTCGAGAAATGCGTGTTTCACTGGGAAAAAACACATTGGATCTAGAGTCCAGACTCTTAAAAACATCGACAAGAAAAAGTGCTCTTGATTCAATCAGAATCTAGCTTAAATCAAGAACCAAGCCTCTTAATTTAAGCGGATTAAGAACAAGTTCTTTTTGATCCAAGCAAAAATCCGATTGAATCAAGAGTATTTTTTCTTGTCAATGTTTTCAAGAGTCTGGACTCTAAATCCAATGTGTTTTTTTCCAGTGTTAAAGTTCCGAAATTACACGGATCATTAGGGCGGAAACAAAGTTCAAACTGACTTTTCAATGCTTAAAAGTTGGAATTTGGGAGCGATTTTTTCGCAGAATATGCATTAAGACTTGTTTTACTTGAAGCCATCAATTTCTCAATATTTTTCAAAAACTGCACTTAAGCACCTTATTGTCCAAGCCCCCTATTTGTAATGATAAATAATTCTGGATAATGTGTTCTCACTGGTTGATTGCTCTTTTGAGTCCTAAAAGCTCCTTACTTCGATGTTTCCGCCCTCACCTCTTGTTGGATTGTAGGTACACTATTGATTGTAGACGCTTGTGGTGTCGTGATTTTGGTAAAATAACTTGAAAAAGTCCATTAACTGTGCTTTTGAGTGCAGCAGACTCCATAGCGCAGAAAAATGAGGCGTTAGGATGGAGTTTGGCAATGGAGGGTGCGACATGACGGGCTGAGGAGGCAGATGAGCCCGCGTCTGGGGCCCGGAGAAACCGGCCGTAAAAACGAGGCTGTGCAGATCTCCAGACTGCCAATTTCGCGGCTGTGGCTTTCGACCACAGACGACATGAGCCCGACTTTTCGTGAGCAGACACTTACATTATTGGACTTTTCACTCACTGCCTCCGCCTTCATCGCTGCCAACTCGGTCACCACACGCCAATTTTGGGAAAGTCTCGGGAAGAGATAGATCTACGAATCCGATTATTAGTTGCTGACCGAATCCTCTACAAAGATCCCATCACCTTCCAGGCAAAGTATCACAAGCGCCATGCGACGCTTAAAAACTTCCTCCGCCATTGCGTTTTTTTTGCAGAAAAATTGTTGGTTGAATCTGTTTGAAAATTTCACTGAATTTTACCGGCAGCACAAAGAATGTTCAGTGAGAGTTCGGAAATTTTTGGACAGCTTCGTTGAACGATTTCTCTGTAAAAGAATAAAATGGCGAGGGAAATTTTTAAACGTCGCATGGCGTTTGTGATATTTAAGCCGAAAGTTTATGATCAATGCTTTAATCTTTGCGGGTTTCCGAGCTTAGGTACAGATGAACTAAACTTTAGGGTTGGAAATGAACTTAAAAATCAAAACTCCCGGACTTTTCTCAAAATATCCCTGAAAGGTGAACCTTTGCACTGCGGCATTCAAACAAGACTAAAGACAAATATTGTTTCAGTGCGTTCAGTTGTGTATTCGCCCTAATTTTGAGATTGCATCCATTCAAATACTAAAGAGAAATAGGACCAAGAAAAACACCTTGATTTAAAATCAAATTAACATTTATCACTTGCAGAAAATGAAAATATTCAATTTTCAACGTATGCGCAGAATTCAGGTTTAAAGGTTTGACCTTGTAGTTTAATTTCATCGCGGAAAAATTAACAAGAATCTAGACTAGATATAGATACATGAATGACCGCAGATAGGTGCGTTATGACAAAAAATATAATTACGATCCGTAAAACTACTACAAAATTAAGTAATACGTTAGGAAAATATTAATTTTTCTTAACAAAGTATGCAATATCAGGCGTGATAGAGTACAGGCGAAAATTTCCTCAACTGAAGGACGTTTACGGATCTTATTGGAGTTAATTTACATCTAAATAATTGAAATTAATTAACCTTAGGCGGTGTTACAACTTACAACAGATTAAATCCATCTTTCACGATTTCCCGTTACATGAGAATACAACGGTACGCTTTGCTCGTACCGAAAAAAGTTATCAGGATCAACCGAAGTTTTCACACGAACCAGCGTATCAAAATTATTTCCAAAATATACTTCAGCCCCCAAACGGACGCCTCTCCATAGTCCGCGAAGCCACCCTTCCCGTTTCGCCCTAAATCAATATCCCTGGTACACAGGTACGCCGATCTTGGGCCCCTGGACACGAAACCCTCCATGTATTCGTAAATCCTCTTCATGTACTTCAACTTCTCCTCCGTCTCGGCGTAATCCTCCCAAAACACACCGTACCGAATTTCGTAGTTGACCCCACCTCTGTGCGGGAACGGGATTTGCGACTTGGGGACCCTGGCCATTTTCCCGCCGTACGGAGTCAGAACAGCGAACGCGGACTGCTCTACCATCAGCCTGAAAAGCCCTTCGAATCCAGCCTCCGGTATCAGTCAACCCGCCATCACGTAGTCGGATTTCATTTTGGAAGGCGCCGTCTGTTGCGTTGTCCGATTCAGCAATACACTCGGGGGTCCATCGAACGGGACCCCGATTTCGGCGAGGTCAACCGCGGATTGGATCCATGTCATCTCCGTAAAGTTTTTTCGGGATACGTTCAATTCGGGGAAGCTGCCCCGGAGCAACCACAAGAGCTGATCCACAGAACCGAGATACAAAGCCTCGAACGAGACCAGCACGGTTTTCTTGCCACCCAATAGACTGACCCCAGTACTGTCTATAACCGACAACCCCACGCGCAGGTGAAGGTCTTCAGGAAACCTAGAAGCAACGCTCTGCCACTTCTGCAGGAGCCGTGCACCGCCCTCCTCCAAAGTGTACGCAACGGAGAGCCTAGTGACAATAGGCGGAACGGGAACGAGTCTCACCTTCCAGGAGACGATAACTCCAAAGCTGGCCCCGCCACCTCCACGTATGGCCCAGAAGAGGTCTTCCCCCATAGTCGCCCTCGTTAAAAGTCTTCCATTGGCATCGATGATCTTCGCGTCTAGGACGTTGTCAGCTGCCAGGCCGTACTTCCTGAAGACGAACCCGAATCCGCCACAACCGAGGTGTCCACCGATACCGACCGTCGAGCAACTGCCGGCAGGAAAGGCGTAGACGTTACTCCTTTCCGCGATCCGGAAGTACAGATCGCCGACGGTTGCTCCGGAATCGACCCAGGCACTTTCGGATCGGACGTCCACGCGGACGGAGCGGAGATTGGAGAGGTCGATGAGGACGAAAGGGTCTTCGGATGTGGAGGAGAGTCCCTCGTAATCGTGGCCCCCGCTGCGGATGCGGACCTGGAGACCGCTCCGACGGGCGCAGACGATGGCTCCTTGCACGTGGGATGTCTCCTTCGCGGCGATGATGAACAGCGGTTTCGGGGATGAGGTGTTGTAGAAGCGGGGCTCTCGGAGGTTGGCGCGGAAGATGGGGAGGAAAGTAGGGCTGTCGGAGGGGATTGCGATTTTGAACGTGCCGTATTGATGCGAGTCGGAGGAGATGCACGATGAGAAATCTTGTCCGGTTGAAGTGGCTGTAGCCCAGAAAGATGCCCAGATGAGGAAGCTGCATGGTTTCAATGATACTTCAAAATTTGGGAGATGCATTGTTTTTGGGTGTGATTACAGCTGGGATTCAGTATTACGCTCACTTTCAATGCACAATGCTTCCGACTGTTCATGACATTTTTCGGTTCATGCAGGACGAACACGTTCTTGGTTATCTTTGCATTGCTTTCCTCGGTTTTCTTTGCGTTTTCTTGCGATTTGGAAATGCGCGTCCAAGCTCTATCAGTTCCTGACTTACGAACCGAACAGGAGCACTAAAGCCCTGAGCTTCAAAAAAAAAAAAAAAAATACAGCTGAAGATTTTCTGTGGGGACGACGAAAATACATAACATACATAAAAGCCGCTTTCAAATTTCACGACGAAATTTACTTTACAAATATTTTGGCATGAATGAGCCTGCGCCCCTTTCATAATTTTTAAGGACTTCAAAATCAAACATTTTTGAAGAATGGAAAAAGAGTGGTCTCATCATTTACACTATTTATTTATAACAAGGAAAGGTCAAAAACCATAGAGCAATAAACACAAACAAAAGCAACACTTTCTTGCGGCTCATATGATAACATTAGAAATCTTAGCTTCATCCTCAGAAGTTACTAGAGTCGATGCAATTAGTTATATCAAAACAGGTAATCGCTATCTTAAATTATTGAGGAAGATGAAAGAAATCAAATCAAATTAAGTAGATCAAGTCATGACATGTAGGTCTTCGAAGAGAGCGCTTCCACGCAGGGATCAATATTTTGTACAGTAAATCAACAGTTGCAATCCGGTGGGGTGCTTTGCTCGTACCTGAAAAAGTTCTCAGGATCGACCGCAGTTTTGACGCGAACAAGCCTGTTAAAATTGTTATTGAAATACTTGAAGCCCCAAACGGACGCTTCCCTGAAGTCCGCGATGCCGTCCCTTCCATTCGTCCCCAGATCGAGATCCCTGTAACACAGGTACGCCGATCTCGGTCCCCTGGACACGTACTGCTCCATATACTCGTAGACCCTCCTGATATCGCTCAACGCTTTCTGACCTTGGACATCATCGTCCACGTCCCAGGACACACCATACTGGATACCGTAGTTGATCCCGAACCTATGCGGAAAGGGAATGGCATTTGTCGGAATCCTGGCCATCATTTCACCGTGCGGCGTCAGGATGAGGTACAAAGCTGACATGTTGGCCTGTAAAATCATCTTGAAGAGTCCATCGTACCCGGCCTCGGGTATGGGTCGATTGACCGTGACGTAGTCCGATTTCATCTTGGACGCGACTGTTTGTTGCGTCGTGCGGTTCAACAAGACGGTCGCGGAACCGTTGAACGGGAAGCCGGCCAGGTCGACCGCGGACTGGATCCACGTCATCTCCGTGCAGTTTTCACGTCGGACGTTGAGCTCGGGGAAGCGTTCTCGAAGCACCGACAAGAGCCGATCCACCCGGCCGAGATACAAGGACTGGAAGGACACCGATAGGGTTGCATTGTCCGAAAGAATCAATACCACACGCAGGAAGAGATCTTCAGGGAGCCTGAAAGCGACGTCTTGCCATTTCTGCAGAAGTCGAGCACCACCTTCTTCAAGAGTGTAATCGACAGAGAACCTCGTGACTGTCGGCGGTACGCGTACGATTCTCACCTGATAAGAGACGACCACGCCGAAACTCGCCGGGCCGCCACCACGGATGGCCCAGAAGAGGTCTTCTCCCATGGTGTCTCTCGTCAGGAGCCTTCCGTTCACATCGACGATCTTGGCGTCGAGGACGGTATCGGCCGACAGTCCGAACTTCCTGAAGATGAAGCCGAAGCCGCCACAGCCCAAGTGCCCTCCGATACCGACCGTGGAGCAACTACCGGCGGGAAAGGCGTACACGTTGCTCTTCTCCGCGATCCGGAAATACACGTCGCCGAGGGTAGCTCCGGAATCGATCCAAGCGCTCTCGGTCGGGATGTCCACGCGAACCGAGCGGAGGTTGTTCAAGTCGATGAGGACGAAAGGGACGCCGGCCATGTAGGAGAGCCCCTCGTAATCGTGGCCTCCACTGCGGATACGGACTTGGAGACCGCTGCGTCGGGCGCAGACGATGGCTCCTTGCACGTGGGATGTTTCCATCGCGGTGACGATGAAGAGTGGTTTCGGGGTCGAGGTGTCCAAAAATCGAGGCTCCCGGACGTACGCGTTGTAGATGACGAGAAAATCGGGGCTGTCGGAGGTGGTGGTGATGTTGGAGATTCGGCCATACTGCTGCGTGTTGTAGGAGATGCATTTCGAGAAACTCTGTTGGGCTGACTCGGAGGCGGCACAAAAGGGCGAGATGAGAATGGGGCACAGTGACAGAGCCACTCCGAAGGTCCCTAAATGCATGATTTTCAGGTTTGATAGTATGTGGGTGACAGCAAGGGTGCGGAATGTTCACGAACCGATCGCAGTCGTTTGCGGAGTGCGTAGGCACTGGGTAAATTGCGTTGGCTGCGACCTTGGATAATGGATGAAATAAAAATTGCGTTTTGTGTTTTAATGCGCTACATTTTTGCGTGCACCTTCTGGAATTGTGTATGCGTGCTCCCTTAAGCATGTCCAAATAGTATGCGCAATTCGGAATAGGCACAAAAAGTGTGCGAAATGATCAGGGGGCACAGCAACAAAGCCACTCTTAAAGGTCCCGAAATACACGATTTTCAGGTATGATAATATGTGGTGACAGCAGGTAACTGATCGTGGTATTTTGCGAATTTTGTAAATACTGGGTAAATAGCGTTGGCTGCAACCTTGGATAATGGATGAAATGAAATGTATTACGTTTTGCGTTTTTGTGCGCTATATTTTTGCGTACACCTTCTGAAATTGTGTATGCCCGCTGCCCTAGGCATTTTCAAATAGCATGCGCATCTCGGAACTTAGCGCGATTCGCGAGTCAACAGCAGGATCGAGACTACAGAGGCGCAATGCTTGTAGTATTCTAACAGTTTCGCAGGCGCTTTCTTCAATCGTTTTTCGCGGCAAGTTAACGATTCGAAAATTTTCTTCCGGAAGATGAGGTTCCTCTTCACAAATCCAGCGCAATTTTAATTTTTTTTTTTATTGGACATCTTCAATTATTAAAAGGGCATTTCAATTTATACGTATTAGTTTAAAATGATTATAATATACGCTTTACATTCTTCCACATTCTTTTTGCTCTCCATGTATAAGTTCCTTGGTCTATCTCTTCACAATACATTCTATAATGTGTATTTCATACAGAATTATGTCATCGTTTCTATTTAATGACGACCGACACTATCCTCTTGAGTATTACTTCAGTCTCGATCACGATCATGAAGCAATAAAACCTTCTCGAATATCCAAAACAATAAAAGAAAGTTTGGTCTCTTTTCCGCCGACTCAGAAATTTAAACGAAGTTAGAAAGGTTGGATAGGGTGAAACGCGTAACACAACTATTTCGACTTCCAGGTGGTTAAAATTGCGTACCAACAGAATGAAGGAAAATCTCTGTTTGCTGAATCAGAGACTTTAACGCAGAAAGAGACAAGTTGGATGGCGATAATCGTGTGATACAATTATTTCGACTTCCAAGTGGTTAAAATTACGTATCAACAGAGTGAAGGAAAATCTCTGTTTGCTGAATCAGAGACTTTAACGCAAGAGTAGACAAGTTGGATGGAGCTAATCGCGTGATACAATTATTTCGACTTCTAAGTAGTTAAAATTGCTTATCCACAGATTAAAGGAGAATCTCCTTCCGGCTGACTCAGAGACTTTAACGCAGGAGTAGAAAAAATGAGAGGGGCGAAATACAGATACTACTATTTCGACTTTCAAGTGGGTAAAACTGTATACCCACAAAATGAAGGAGATCATGATATTTCATATCATCCCAACTGAAACTGACCAGGTCTCAAGACCTTCAAACAGCTAAATAATTAGCAAGGTCGATAAATACATGAGTTACTGACTGAACTCATGGCTGAGAATTTTGTTTTCTGAACATGAGAATAATTTGTACCTTCAGTTTCGGTTAGACAGAGAGTATTACAATTATGGTTGCCGAGGAGATTCAGCTAAATCATTGAGTAAAAACCGGGCCTTGATTGTATGCGTTATACAGCTACCGAGAATGGTAGATATTCTATTCAAAACTATTCGATATTACCTCCCGGAGACGAATTTGATAAATGAGATGCCAAAATTATTTACAATCGATACGGTTGGGCCAATGTATGCCTGTAGCACTAATCGGTGGCGAAGGAACGATACCGCCTATCTGCAAACTGACAATTTTGAGAGACGAAGAGAAAAATTCGCCATTATTAATTTTCAGGCTCGATTTGCAATTTTTGTATATATTACAGCGTCAGTACAGCGCTCCCCTACACAATTAGAAAAAACTAAAAACACCAGCTTACTTATTTCTACATAGTCACCTTCGAGTCAAAGTATCACAAGCGCTTTGCGACGTTTAAAAATTTCTGCCGCCATTGTATTTTTTTACAGAGAAATTGTTCAACGAAGCTGTCCGAAAATGTCACTGAATTTTCTTTGCGCTGCCGATAAACTCCAGGGAAATTTTCGAACAGACTCAACCAAACATTTCTCCGTAAAAAAATAGAATGGCCGCGGAAATTTTAAAATGCCGCACGGCGCTTGTGATATTTCGGCCGGAAGGTGACGATATACTGTGAATTGCGGGAAAGTCACCAACTCCTCTTTGCCAAAATTGTCAGTTTGAAAAAATAAAACAACTTAAATCGGGACTAAGGCCGCAAATAAGAAAAAGAACACATAAAATAAAGTCAAAATTTTAAAGATAAAGTAAAAAAATTGTCGGGCTTTTTATTTTATTTTATGTGTTCTTTTTATCATTTGCGGCCTTAATCCGAGTTTAAGTTGTTTTTTTTTGTCAGTCTTTCGGGCCGATTAACTTGTTTCTTCTATTGTCAGTTAGGTGGCATTGTTCCTTAAAACCCTCGTCATGGCGCTTCCCTTAAAGCAGGAACAACGGGAATACTCTGCTCGTTCCTGAAAAAATTATCCGGGTCCACGGCAGTCTTCACACGAACCAGCCTTTCAAAATTATTTTTATAATATTTGCGCCCCCAAACGGACGCGACCTCATAATTCGCGCTCCCATTAAAACCATTGGTTCCCAAATCGAGATCCCTATAGCTCACGTACGCCCGCCTGGGTTCCCTCGAAACATACGGCTCCATATACTCATAAATCCTATCCATCCATCTTAACGTCTCATTCTCCTTGCTTTCATCAAACCAGTCCACTCCGTACTGTATCCCATACAGAGTCCCATTCCTGTGGGGGAAAGGCGTATCCGACTCAGCAATCTCACTCATCCTGCCTCCGTGCGGTGTAAAGATAATCCACGGTGTCTTCTCCACAACAAGCTTGAAAAACCCCTCGAGCCCCGCCTCCGAAATGGGCTCGGTCACATAGTCAGATTTCATCTTAGAAAAATGAAAAACCTCCGGATCACGATTCGACAGAACGCTTAGGGAGCTATTGGTAGCATATCCAGCAAACCGAAGAACGACTTGTATCCAACTCAGTTCTGTACAATTCCCACGCGTCACATTCAACTCGGGGAACTTCTCTCCGAACAAAGACAATACCGAATCGATTCCACCCAGGTACAAAGATTGAAAAGCAATGCGAGCGGTTCGGTTGAAACCCAGCGAGCTCGTCGAACTCTTCACGGATCCTATCACTACGTGGAGGAAAAGCTCATCGTCGAGGGTGTGAGCTACCCTCTGCCACTTCTGGAAGAGCCTCCCGGCACCTTGTTCCAGAGTGTACCTGACGTTGCACACGCTAACATTCTCCGGCACCGGGACTAATCGCACTTTCCACGAGACGACGACGGCGAAGCTCGCGGCGCCGCCTCCACGAATAGCCCAGAAGAGATCCTCCCCCATGGTCTCTCTCGTCAGGATCCTCCCGTCGGCATTCACAACGACGGCGTCGAGTACGTTATCGGCCGACAGACCGTGCTTCCTCATCATGAACCCGAGGCCACCCCCGCCAAACTGCCCGCCGACGCCGACGGTAGAACACGAGCCGGCCGGGAAGCCGTGGACCTTGCTCTTCTCTCCGATCCCACGATAGAGGTCCCCGAGGGTGGCCCCGGCTTGAACCCACGCGCTCTCGGTTTGGATGTCGACGGTCACCGCGCGAAGACGGAAGAGGTCGAGGACGATGAAAGGAACGTCCGAGACGAAAGACAACCCCTCGTAGTCGTGACCCCCGCTCCGGATTCGCAGTTGGAGACCGGTTTTCTTGGCGCAGATGATTGCTCCTTGGATGTGGGACACGTTGCTGGCGGCCAGGATGAATTCGGGTGTCGGAGTTGTGTTGTGGAATCGGCGGATTCGGGTGTAGGCGCTGAGGGTGGTGGAGTAATCAGGGCTGTTGGAGGTGAAAACGGTGTTGGAGGTCTCGTTGATGTGTAGGTAAGCGGAGATGCAATCCTGGAATTTCTGTCGAGTTGACTCCGTGGCGGTAGACGGGCAGGGTGAAACGAAAACGGAGAACTGGGATAGTACCAGCAAAATGATTGCACGGTACATACTGTTCGCTTGATTAATTTCATGCGATGAAACTATCATAGTTCATTAAGCTCAAACAGACCATTGCATCCTAACTTAGGGAGTTTTTAAGTGTTCCATTGGAGATTCAGGGAAAGAACTTCTTGAGGCAAAATGAATGCAGAGATCATCACGCACGGTGAATGGTTTGATAAGACGGGAGTCCATACTTCCACACACTGTAAAACCAACCAAATTAACTGATATTCTGCCGTGCTAAGGAAGAACGTCGGATGAGCTTACAGACGTTGCCATATTTCATTTAATAAAAATCGAATTTACTAGGAAGATTACGAATGTTTCCTAAACATTTTCAGACAAGGAGGGACGCACTTTGATCTAAAATAAATGAAAATTTCAGAGAACAATATGCATGACTTTCCTCTAAAATACATGTTTTATTCGGGGAGATTTGGCGACTTGCGAATATTCATACGGCGTTCTTCCTTAGGAAGGCAGTATTCTTCCTTTGAAAGAAGTTCAAGCTCACAAAGACTGCATTTTGCAAATAGGAACCAAGAGCACTACAAAGTCGCTAAGATTGCGCAATTTCTTTCACTTTGCAAATATACAAGTAAAGTGATCATCTAAACATAAATTCAGAAGGAAATGTACTTTTGTAAATTGGATTTTTTGGATGATTTCAGTAGTTTTATTGCAAATAATGTAAGTTGCGCAATTCTAGCAACATTAGAATGCTCTTGGTTCCTTTTTGCGAAATGCAATCCACACGACACACAAGATCGGGCGCGGTACGACACGATGTTATAGCGATACAACATTATATCAAAACATTCGAACACGACGTCAACGGAAAGTCTCAAAACATACAGTCTCACTTTTTCACGAAAAATGAAGGCCACGCACTTGTATATTGTC